AATTATTTGAGTTTTAAAAGCATTAACTATTGGATAAACTCCTCCCCTGGCCCAAGCGTTTTGACGTATCTTTTACAAAGATTAATAGAGAAAGTTTGCTAAAGAAACTTAGTTAGAACTGTATGATATAGAAAGAGATGCTGTGACGTGGCATCTTCTACACTACTTTTGGGAAGGGGTCAGGAACACCAGTTCCATCAGAAGGATATATTTTCTGTGTACTTTGTTACTGAGGTGGCTTATACTAAACCAGAAAGACTGCAGCTTTTGAAGCAAAGGGCTGGCACAAAGTACAAATCAAATGATTGTCCATGAAATCAGGGGTTTTTCTCAATGCCTATCCTCTAACAGATTACCATAGGTGGCTCATCACTATAACTATATTACAGCAAAATATTACATGCAAAAGCTCTATTCCTTGTAATAACAGAAGTTCTGTTCCAGACTGTACAGTTGCATGTGCAAGAAGAGCAAGAGACAAAACAATAACAAAAAAAATTAGCCTGTGCATGAGAATTTATGTTAACTTCTCAGAGGCTTCATTTTGCCAGCGGTTAGAGGCAAAAATGACTATTCAGAGCCACAAGATCTCCTGCACTATTACGAAGAATGTTGCCATACGCAGAAGGCTCTTGAATAAGCTGAGCCTAAGAAAATAGTTCCGGGAGTTAAACACATAGCAAGAAGCCTTACTGCTCAAGTAACATTGTATAAGGCTCTGGTAAATTCTTTAAATTTGCTTCTCTTTCAAGGATCTTGCCAATGTCAAATTTTAGGTAGTTTTATGCAAACTATTAGTGGGATAACTATTAGTGGGGAATCATGGGGATGGTGGCCAGGGACAAGCGGGGTCCCCCAGGGCTCTGTCCTGGGACCAATCCTGTTCAATCTTTTCATCAGTGACCTGGAAGAGGGGGTGACCAGTGTGCTGATCAAATGTGCAGATGATACTAAAATGGGGGTGGTGGCCACAACTGACGAGCAGGTACTCTGGATCCAGAAGGATCTAGGCAGCCTATGGAAGTGGGCAGGGGTCAACAGAAAGACGTTCAAGGTCTCACACTTGGGGCATAGGAATGTGCATCACAAGTACAGGTTAGGGGACAAGTGGCTGGAGAGCAGCACTTGTGAAAGGGATATTGGGGTGCTGGTCGACTGCAGGCTAAACATGAATCAGCAGAGTGACACGGGGGTCAAGAGAGCAAACACTAGGCTTGTATGCATAGCCAGAAGTGTGGCTTCTAGACTGAGAGAGCTATTACTGGCAATCTACTCCAGGGGTCCCTAGCCCCAGAGCGGCGGACCAGTACCAGTCCATGGCGTGTTAGGAACCAGACCATATAGCAGGAGGTAAGTGGTGGGCACAATCCAGAGTTAGAATGTGAGAGTCAATTTAAAATCTCCTCAAAGTTCAAATTATGCTTCTAAGTTCGAACCTCAGGCACAGAGAAAAAAATGCGGTCACTGCGTAAACAGCAGTTATGTACCCAAGTCGTCTCTCGTCTCTTGTTGCGTCTTTACCCTGTCCCTGCCGGCCTCTCGAGTTCCTTTGCTATTGTGCTCAGCGTCTCTTAGGTGAGTGCCCTTTATGAGCATTCCGAGTGCCTTTTAACTGCCTGCCTTCTTGATTCTTCTCACTGCCTCGATCCTTTTCTGCTTCACCACTCCTCTCTAAAAAAATTGGACAGTAAATTTACTTATTTATTTTTCGATTTATATCCTGCCTTTTTCCTACAAAGGGTTCAAGGCAGCTTACATCATTCTCCTCCTCCATCTTATCCCCACAACAACAACCCTGTGAGGTAGGTTGGGCTGAGAGTCTGTGACTGGCCCAAAGTCACCCAGTTGGCTCCATGGCTGAGCGGGGACTAGAACCCAGGTTGTCTGAGTCCCAGTCCCATGCTCTTAACCACTACACCACACTGGCTCTCAAATGCAATTTCCATTTTATTATGCAGTACTGTACATATTTTATTAATTGCTTTCAAGTTTTAATTAATAAATTTGGCATCTAATCGTGTTATTTTTGCCTTAAATCATGAATATTTACTGTTTAAGTTTATCTAGATGGCTATTGTCTGGGGTCTGGGAATGGATTAATTCACTTTCCATTATTGTTAATGGGGAACATAGCTTCAGACTTCAGATGATTCAGAGTTCAAACAGCCTCCTGAAACGAATTAAGTGTGAAGCACTGTAATGTGCTTGAATCATCCTGAAACCACCCCTGCTCCAGTCCATGGAAAAATTGTCTCCCAAGAAACTGGTCCATGGTGCCAAAAAGGTTGGGGATCACTGCTCTATATGACTCTGGGGCACCCACAACTGGAGTATTGTGTTCAGTTCTGGGCCCCACATTACAGGAAAAATATAGCCAGGTTCGAATTGGTGCAGCGTAGGGTCACAAAGACGGTGGGCTGGTTTGCAGGGATGCCGTATGAGGCGAGACGGAGGGAACTGGGTCTTTTCAGCCTGGAGAAGAGGAGACTCTGAGGGGATCTGTTGGCGACATACAGGTATGTGAGGGGGTGTCACGTGGAGGTGGGTAGAGGCCTGTTCTCCCCTATGGAGGAGGACAGGACACGTTCCAATGGAGCAAAGCTCAGGGAACCAAGGTTCAAATTAGATGCCAGGAAGTACTTCCTGGTCAGTTAGGACCGCTGGGATATGAAACGGGCTTCCACAGGAGGTGGTTGAAGACCCATTGGTGAGGGTGCAGGCTGGGCATGCACATGGTGGGCATGTCATAAGCAGGGCTGGCTGGAACCAGGGGTCAGACTAGATGGCCCAGGAGACCCCTTCTGACTTGCTGTGTGTCTATGTGCCTAAACTTTTATTAGGCAATTCTGAAAGCAAAGCATCTCAAAGTCAAGGCAACTGTACAAATCACCTGAATAAGTACTTTAGAACTTGGATGGTCCTCTCAGCCCCCAAAATGAACCCACCTATTAGCTTGATACACAACACAATCCGGCTCTGTCTGTGTTAGGCAGAAAGTTAAACTAGACAAGCATTTTTAAAGCTGAAAAGTATTTAACCTCTGGTCAAATTCCTGAACCAAAGCCCAAAAGAAAAGTATCAGAAATTACTGGTCAGAAGTGGAGGTGGAGTGGTAGGGGAAGCCCAGAATCTTTGTAAGTGCCCACAAAAACACAACACAATTGTTTAAGAAAGTAGTTTCCCTGGACTTCTTGCACAGACAGACAAATATTTGTTATCATAAAGGTTCTCTATTACCCCACAGCCATTCTAACAAACACAATCATTGCTGAACCTTAACTGTCCATTACACTCTTCAAATAGGATCTCTTTATAATACTCAGTAACTCTCAGCCTACTCAAAGAGTGTTATAAAGAGGTCAGACATGGAGTGAACAAACAGAGAACAGGAATCCAATACAGTAAGTCACAGAAAACAACTAAGCTGCACACATTTAAACTAGACATAATGCATGCAAACATCTGGAGAGAGATTACATCTGTTTTGTCTTTGCTCATGATGGAGCCTTGCCCCATATGCCCACCATGGAAGGAGAAAAAGTTGAAAATGGTTGAGGGTGGGAAGATGAGTGACTAAAAGGAAACTGGAAAAAGGCAGGAAGCAGTCGGGAAACTGAATGAATCATTTATTGAAAGCACTGCAATTTGGCGGTCAAAGACCCTACTGCCATGTTCCCCTAGGCTCAACCGTCTCCAACATAGCACCCCTGAGATGCACTGACAGTACAACTTCCATAATGGCCGTGCTGGCTAGGGAATTATGGGAGTTATAGTTATAACACATCTTTAGGACACCTGGTTGGGGAAGGCTGCTCAGGACTCTCACCTGACAGCTGCCCAGAAATCAGCTCAGATAAGCCAGACAATGCTAAGGGTCCGGACAGAGTTGGCCATGCAACATGCAAAGACTCAGGCGCTTTATTACAGGGCTTAGGTGCCTTCTGATGTTATGGGGCAGCCCCCAAGCATCTAAACAGTGCCTGACCAATGCCTTCTGTAATTCTATAGGAATTGCTGATACCGGTTGCTCTGGTATCAGTCTCCTTCCTTGCTACTGAATGACTGGAACTAGAAGCCCCCAGCTACATCCAGACTATCATAAAACAAGCGGAGCAGAATGAACTATGCATTCACAATCTTACAGAATATGTCTTCCTATGCTTCTGGTTTTATGGTATGAAGAGGATTTTTTTGGGGGGGTACATGTTTTTCTACTGTAGTACATGAGTAGTGATGCAGAAAATGCTGGAAATGCAAGCAGATCTGAGCAAAGGAAACTACTGCATAGACTATATAGCACACACTGGCCTCTGCCGTTTGTGTGAACTATCGAGGACCAATGAACGCTGTACCCTTGAGTGCCTGAGGTCAGGAAAAATCTACTCTCTGAAATGAGAACCTTCTGGACAACTGGCTAAACTGTATTCTACTTATCTTCTAAACTTTAAATTAAAATGCGATTTGAAATTTTACCACTGTGTGGCAATACACTCTAGCTGAACTCTCATCCCGCCCTCCCCTAAATAACCATTTCTGCCATGCAAAGTAAAAAGTTTAGCTGTGCAAGACTTTGCTAAACACCAGCTCCATGATTACAATCCTGCAAGAAACTGCATAAACTGTGTATCCTGCCTCAAACCTGACAAACACCTCCAGAAGGGGATAGGCAGATTCATCCATTGCTTGGGTGGCAGGTGTGACCAGGGATCGAAACAAAGGGATCCTCATTAACTGGACAAACCAGATGAATGTTCATAGCTAAAACTATAATACACAGGCAAGTACCACTAAGCTGATTTCTGATTGGGCTGTCACAGGGATGTCCTAATCCAGAATCAAGTAAGGCTATACAGCTTTCCATTGGCCTGATTAGCAGAGGAGCCTGTAAATAGGATTGCCAGGAAATTTGGTCTGAACAACCGAGAGTTAATTAGCTTTTAAAAAACATGCAAAGATACAAAGACGGACAGACGGACAGAGCAGTGGGGAAGAAAACTCACCTTGAGGTCTCTGTGGACGACCCCCATTTGGTGGCAATGGAGAACAGCCTCCAGGATCTGCTGGATGCAATGACTGCATGCAAACACCAGGGGGCGTGTTAGTTCACGGTGAGTGGTAACAACCACATAGGCTGGTGGGGTGGGTGGGGGGGATAATGGGAGGAAAATAAGGAAAGGGAAAACGGAAGAGGAAAAGGAGGAAAAGGAGGAAAGGGGCAATGGAAAATAAAGGAATCTGACTCCCTTTCTCTCTGTTTCAGGTTCTAACTGAAAGATGAGAACCCCAAGTTACAGATTTAAACTCTAGGATAGTGAGAATAGGACTGAAGGAGGAGGAGCTGCCTTCTCTAAGAGAGGAAAAAGGATCCAAAACTGAAATTCTGGGAGCCAAGAGACAAATTATGCAGTAGATGGTGTGGATATTTTACCAAAGAAAGAACGACGAACAGAATCACTCATAGCGTTGCAGGAAGGCATCTCTCCCTCAGGTCCCTCCACCCTCCCAAGCATGGTCCTCCATCCTGTTCTGAAGCTTCGGACCCAACAGACCACTTCACTGGGCATGGCATCAGCAGCTCCCAACACCTTTGGCAACTGCTGGAGCCCCAGTGCCCAAATGGCCGTATTCGTGCCAGCGCCTCTCCTGGGGGCCTCTGCATTAGGCAGCTGCACTGTCTGGTAGCCATTTTAATTTCACATCATGTCGCCAGGGTGGCAATGTTCTGGGGCATTGTGGGAAACTAACATGGCTGCCCACTGCTGCCAAGGATTTCGTAGCCAGGGACCCAACAGACACTTTTGACTGAGGAGCCCTACCCCGAATCATTTTATGGCCAGGATCGCATATACCGGGGGTTTCAAATTAGCCTGATTTGATTCTGTTGTTTATACGATTGCTTCCCTTTCACCTCTATGATGGTCCATTGGCAATTCTAAATTGTCGATTCTAAATTGTCGTATATCCAAATGTGTACTGAACCATGCAGCAGCTGCAGGTGCTTTTCTCACCTGGTACAAGTGGCAACCATATGTCCAACTAAAAAATGTTAAACTTACTCCATCACCAACCCCTGAGACCTATTCTTACGGAGAAGACAATAGAGCACTAAAGCCTAGTTAGCAACATTATCTTTAACAATAATATTTGGTATATACATATTAAAACTAGCACCAAGGATAAACAAATTAGAAGAGATCTCAAATAACTGTTACTAATTCCCTTCCCTAGAGGCTGGTATGGGAAAGAATGGGGCTGCACAGATTAAATGCCTCATTAAGGTGCTAACAAGGGATCAATCCAATCACTGCTGGGCAGGCTGGCCTTCCAACTGCATGCCACATTAAAAAAATACAGGAATGCAACAGACTCTCAAGAATGCCAGCCAGATGCAACAAACACCAGGAGGGAAGGGTTCTCAGAATATCATTTCTTCCTCTGAAAACTGAAAGGAAAGGTCTACACTTTTGTCTCAATAATGAGCAGAATTGTAGCAGGATGCCAGGAAACAAAGGCTATACATGTAAGCACTCTATGAATATTTGTTAACATTTTAAAGCAAACATTTATTTCCTTTCTTTTAATCGTTTTTATTTTTATAAATAAATAAAAAAGATAAAGATACCAAGGGACCTTACACAAATACTACATATAATACTAAATGTGGGAAATTTCACAAAAAGTCAATCATTGTTATTACTTCTATCAAAATTATGGCTAAAATTTTACCTTAATTCTTAAGTAGAATTAAGACTTACTTAAATTGATTAACACTTAATTAAAATAAACAATTATTACATCAAATGCTTTAACATGGATGTCAAGTAAATAATAATTCACCTTATAGCATATCCACCAATCCACCAACAAAAAAGTAATTGATTTATTTTTTCTTTTCCCTTTTTCCCAAATTAAACAATACCATGATGAGAAACTTAGTTTCACAGAGCAAACATACTAATTTGATCATTGTATATGTGATATTTAATAGCAGCCTCCCCCAACCTGGTTGCATTTGTACCACAACTCCCAGAATTCGCATCCAGCAGGGCCACTGACTGGGAATGCTGGGTGTTGCGATCCAAATGTGTCTGGAAGTTTGGGGAAGGCTGCTTAATAGTAATATATTTTCCATCCTTTTAAAAAATTTTGAACGTAATCAGAGACGGTTTAATTAAAATTTGGCATTTTACAAGAAGAAGAATCAGTCCACCAATCTCTCCTCTGATATCTCCAATAGAAGCATTTTATGATAAGCATCGAAGGAAAAACAATGACTTTATAACATATGGAGATAGGATTGATCAACAAGAAGGAATTAAGCCTTGGCAAAAATTAAAAGAGGAAGGGAAAAAGATACAATAGCGTCTCTATTTACAATTCATTTCAAGACTGAAAATAGAAATTCGGATAGGAAGAGGTACCCAATGGAATTTGAAATGCTGTTTTTACAGCCAAATGACAATCTATTAGGATGGAGTTACAAGCAATTACTGCAATAGGATACTGAACATGAACAAGTTAAAACATGTATAAGTTGGATGCGGTATTTTGAGGAAGAAATATCCTTTCATCAGTGGGAAACCTTATGGATCAAAGACAAAATTTACAGCACTCTAGTACACTGAACATCGGCTCACCCCCCCCCTTCCTTAACACTCTGTTTCTATCACTTTTTTTCTACCTGATGTAGCAAATCTGACGCATTGTTGCCCATCTTAACTATGCTTTGTTTGAAACAAGCTAATATTGTGGTTCATACAGCAAACACAACATAAAGACTCCCATCAACCAACACACAGAAGCTTTTCATGATTCCCTTTCACTGGGAGGCCTCTGACTTGCTCTGAATATGTCGAGAAGCAGCTGCTTAAGAGAGCCACACGCTATATTACACGTGTGTTGTCCAGAAGAGAGCTACTCATTAAATTAATGTCCCTCATTCCTCTCACTCATGCATAAGGGCTGGAACCCCCCACTTCACCCCAGAATCCGGGAACACAGAACCTCGACACAAGGGCCAGATTCTGGAGAAGCTTTTGAGGGATATATTTTGCTGGAAGACAGCCAAAAACTGGACCCCAAAATACCAACATAATTTAGGTTAATTCTTCTAATGTCCTTTTAGAAAAGGGGGGGGGGTGGAAAGTGCACAAAAGCCAAGAGACCACCGGACATTAAGTGGTCAGGGTAAAAGGAATTAACAAAGGAAGGGCGCATGGATTTCTGGGAAATACCAAAGGATTTGTTTGGAACCGTAGGGATGGATTTGGCCCCCACGCTTCAGGTTCTGCATGCCTGTCAGACGCATCCTCTGAGAGGATCCTCTGGATTCAAGTACAGGATTGGTACCTCCTACACTTTGACAGCAGTTACCCAGGTAAGGCACCCCAGTTTTGCCCTTGTGAGAGCACAAGAACACACTTCGGAAACTGTGCGATTCTAGCTATGGGAATTTTTTAAAAAATCTGACAGAGCTATTTGCATGCATGTGGGGTGTAAACAGAAATAACAAAAGGGAAGGCAGAAAATCAATGATGGCCCCTCTAATGTGCTACCTGAGCACTTTGGAGGGACTGCCAGTGGCGGTCACTATGGAGACTGCAATCCTTGTGGAGAAATTGCAAAACAGGGACCAAAAGGGTCTTGAGATTGGGCATGGGAGCGGGGGACGGGGAGTCAGCAATGGGCACCCTGCCGTACCACTTGGCCCTTGGTAGGGCTGTTGGCACTGGCTGCGGATCAAGTGAGCTCAGCAAGAGTGGCAAGACATTATTTTCTGCTCTTGCAGAGCAGCTCAGTTGTCCAGACCAATCCAAGTGGTCCCCCCAAAAACACTTTTTTACAGCTGCTGTCTTCGCACCCTCCGTGGATCCAGGCCTTGCCATCGTCCACAACCCATGACGGAGACAGCTGCCTCGGTCAGAACAACGTGGCCGTTCATCACAGATATAACAGACTCTGCAGCAGGTTATGGGTTCTCAGGATGGTGTGCTGGGAAAAAACAGGCCACTGCAAGAAAAGCAGTCTGAGCTTGGACAATATGGCAGCCAAAAACAGCTCACCCCCCATGGTCGGTTGTTGTGCCATGTGCACCAGGTCACTGTGTTTTTTCTAACTTGTATATTGTTATTTTGCACTGAAGTTCAGCTTCTTTACATTCCATATTCAGAAAAAGGGTGGGGGGGTCTGGCTTAGTATATATGCATTGCATTTAGAAACTCCTAGATCCAAGTCCCCCTAATTGCATCTGATCTTACCCTGGGAAGCAGGACTGTGGGCAACCTTTGCCTGAGGCTTTGGAGAGCAGCTGCTGGTCAGAGCGTGCTGACTAGACCACTTCTGGCTCAGCAGTTTCATGGGTTCATGTGCACATGTCAGGGAGCATCTACTATAATCGAGATTACTGAGCTAGTAGCAAGGTTAATACAGAAGATAAAATCATAAAAATTAAAAATGCAGTGGAAGATTCCAGTGAGATCTCTGGGGTAATGGTAAATAGCTTAATGAAAAAAAAAAAAAAAAAAACTTGACAGTTTTTACTATATGTTTTTGCTACATTTAATGCTGCTTTAATTTTATGATGTTTTGTTTTGTTTTGTTTTTTGGATGGTTATAAATCACCCAGAAAGCTTTCACTATTGGGCACTTTGGGAATAAAATAAAGCATAAATAATAAAAAGCATTACCCTAATGTGCCAATATCACAATGTTGTTATACAATTCCATGGTGCAGCCACACTTGGAATGCAGTTTACCGTTCTTATCACAGCACCTCAGAAATGATATTGCAGAATTTGAGAAGGGCAACCAGTATGAAGAAATGCTGGAACAATTCCTCTATGCAGAAGAAGGTTACAACATTTAGAACACTTTTAGCTGAGAAAAAGGCTGAGCAAGGGGAACATGCTTGAGGAACATAAAATTATATATGATGTGTGATGTGCAGAAAGTAGATAGAGAAAAAAGAATTCTCTTGCTCATAATACAAAGACCTGGGATCATCCAATTTAGATGAATGATGGGGATTAAGGAAACCTGTATATTCTGGAATTTATTACCACAAGTAAAAGTGG